CTATCCTGCTCTAATCTGACACTCAATCTTGTGAACTTACCTCCCAGTGGGGAGGAGACTTGTAATAAATGTATAATAAGAATAAAAAAAATAAGAAAGTGTGAATGCTTTGAAGAAACTAAACTAGACCAGACGGTAGAAAGGGGTAGAAAGACTGGAGCTGGCAGTTGGTCAAGGAAGCGTTTTCTTCAGATGTGACATTTATGTTGAGAGACAGAGCCTCATAATTATACCCTCAAAGCATATTTATTTCCAAAGCCACACATATATCTCCATCGTGAGTACTGACATTGTTTAACTAAAGGATTCAGTACGCGGTTTTGCTAAATTTGTTATGAACAGCTACAGGGGAAAATAGATGTCTAGATAGTTTGAAAACTATTCCACTACTAAATACAAGAAATACCAGGTACAATATAACAAATATTTATAAATATACTGTTTCTAAATGAAATATATATATTTAAATTAAGAGATGGGCTCACAATAAAGTAAAAGAAATCATCAGTCACCAAAAATAATAAGGAAAATGAAAGCCAGTAAGGTCAACATGAGACTTGGAGCTTCAGCTCCTGCAGGGAAGGAGTTTGGATACTAATCCCTACGTAGGAACAGGAGATAAAGCCTTCAGCCTGAGAGACAAGAAGTTGGAACTGAAACTGCAACATGAAGCCAGGATAAAAGACTGCAGAATTTTAAAATAAATTTTTTAAAAATCCATTAGCTTTGGATAGGAGTTTGTTTGTTTGTTTGTTTTTAAGATCTCCCTGAGGATTTATAGCCACATAACCATCTGGTGTTCAAATTCATGCCATAAGCAAGATGTAGAAAACTTTAAATTGAGATAATAGCATAAAATGTAGAGTTTAGCTGGTGATGGTCCTGGACTGTCTTACAAAAGCATAAACAACACCTCTCTTGAAGAAGGTTCCCTTAATGTGTCTCTGTCAGAATTTCAAGAGATTAAATTTTAATGAGGCCAAGTTCATGGTCTAAAACTGCAAAACATATGAGGAAAGAGTAATGTGAAAAAGAGTATGCAAACGGTATAGAAGACAGAATTAGAATTTTAAATGTCATAATTCTTGAATAGGAATGATCTTTAAAAGGATTTAAAGGATTAGCTATATAAAAGAAGGTCTTAAGGGAAAAGTACAAGATTCTCTGAAAAAAGATCAAGCTGACCTTTAAAATAGAATGAAATAGAACTTTTAGAAATTAAAAATATGGCAATAAAAGCTAAAACTTGTTGGAAGTGAAAATATTTACATATTACATATCTAACAATGGACTTGTATCTGGAATATGTAAAGAACTCTCTAAATAAATTATTAGTACATATAATAATTTAGATGGATCTCAAAGACATTATGTTCTTCATGGATCACAGCTTTGTCATGGTGATAAGGCTTGTGTAACTCAATAAATCTATGAGCTGTGCCATGTAGGGCCACCCAAGACGGATGAGGCATAGTGAAGAGTTCTGACAAAATGTAGTCCATTGGAAGAGGACATGGCAAACCACTCCAGTATTCTTTCCACAAGAACCCCATGAACTGTATGAAAAAGAAAAAATATATATATATATGACACCAGAGGATGCACCCCCCCGCCAAGTTGGAAGGTGTCCAATATGCTACTGGGAAGAGCAAAGGGCAACTTAATAGCTCCAGAAAGAATGAAGAGGCTGATCCAAAGCAGAAATGATGCTCAGTTGTGGATATGTCTGATAGTGAAAGTGAAGTTTAGTGCTTTAAAGAACAATCAAGGTAAATTGGATATAGTAAAGTAGGAAATGTGGGCAAGAGTGAACACCGACATCTTAAGAAGCAGTGAACTAAAATAGATGGGAATGGGTGAATTTAATTCAGATGACATTAGATCTGTGGGCAAGAATCTCTTAGAAGAAATGGAATAGCCCTATAGTCAACAAGAGAGTCTGAAATGCAGTACCTGGATGCAATCTCAAAAGCAACAGAATGATCTTGGTTTGTTTCCAAAGCAAACAATTCAACACAGCACAGTAATCAACCAGCACAGTAATCCAAATCCCAACCACTGATGCTGAAGAAGCTAAAGTTGACCAGTTCTAGGAAGACCTACACGATCTTCTAGAACTAACACTAAAAAAGATGTCCTTTTCATCCTAAGGTGATTAGAATGCAAAAGTAAGAAGTCCAAGATACCTGGAGTAACAGGCAAGTTTGGCCTTGGAATACAAAATGAAGTGGGGCAAAAGCTAACAGANGTTACGTCTTCAAATTGCAGACACCCACATCTGAGGCCAGTGTCCAGCATAAAAGACCTTCTTTGTATCTGTCCCTCATCCATCCATAAACATAGCGAAGAGGGAAAGGAGAAAGCCTGGTACACTGGGTCTAAGGAAAGTTAATACAGGATATGGGAATGGGGTGGAAAGCGAAAGAGTTTCTCAGTGATACCTCTACAAAATAAAATGATGAAATTCCCTTGATGATTATTAAATATGATGATGGGTATATGGGCATTCATAGGACTATCTTCTTTGGTGTATGTTTGAAATTTTTCAAAATTGAAAAATAGATGTGATTTTTAGAGATGATGAATGTCATATTCAGCCTCCAAGAATGGCCTCCAAAGATCATCTCCTCCTGTATTCATACCTTTGTGTAGTCTCCTGCAAAAATGAATCGGGACTGGTCCTTGTGACCAAAGTGGAGGTGACCTAGCTCAGAAAGCTAGGTCATGGTGACTTCTGCCTTGTTCTCTCTTGGATCTCTTGCTCTGAGGGAAATTAGCTACCATGTTGTGAGGACACTCAATCAGTCTCATGGAGAAGCCTTTATGGACAGAAGTCAAGCCCTCTGGCCAAGAGCCAGTCCATCATACAAGTGAGCCATGGAACTGAGCCTCGCAGAAGTTGATTCTCCAGCTCCAATCAAACCTTCCAGTGACTGTAGCTCCATTTGACTGCAACTATCAAGTCAGAACTGCCTTTCAAGCCACTCCTGAACCTCTGACCAACAGAAATTGTGAAAGACAATAAATGTATATTCTTATATTAAAACACTGAGTTTTGGGGTAATTTTTATGTTGCAATAAAGAATACAATGTGATTTCAAATCTTCCCACCCCCTCAATACCTTCCCTATCTTATCACTGATGCCTGAAATAAACAGGAAAGACCTTTTCACACGGTGCATAGGGTTAACATGCTAATACCCCTTGAAGGCTGGGAGCCGAAAAATTGATGCTTTCGAACTGCAGCGCTGGAGAAGACTCTTGGGAGTCCTTTGGATTACAAGGAAATCAAACCAGTCAATCCTAAAGGAAATCAACCCTGAACATTCATTGGAAGGACTGATGATGAAACTGAAGCTCCATACTTTGGTCACTTGATGCAAAGAGCTAACTCACTGGAAAAGACCCCGATGCTGGGAAAGATTAAAGGCAAAAAGAGAAGAGGGCAGCAGAGGATAAATTGGTTAGATAGCATCACTGACTCAATGGACATGAATTTGAGCAAACTCCAGGAATACTGAAGAACAGGAAGCCTGGCATGCTGCAGTCCATCAGGTAGCGAAGAGTCAGACATGACTTAGCATCTGAATAACAGCAAGAACTAAGACATTACACGCAGTGAAGAAAGTCAGTTTCAAAGGATTATAAACTGTACAGTTCCATTTATATAAAGTTCTCAAAATGAAAAAATTAGACAGATAGAGAGCAGATCAGTGGATATTCAGATTTAAGAGAAGGTGGAAGGGATGTGAGACTATAAAAGGCAGCATGAGGGAGTTCCTTCATGGTGATGGAACAAGGCTGTAATGCTGGTTATATGAACCTACACTTGAGATAAATGTCATAGATTTATACATAAATACCTTAAAATATGAGTGCATACAAAAACTTGTGAAATCTGTTTATTTGATAGTATTGTGCCAATCAACTCCTTCTGTAATCCATTCTAGCTGTTTAATAAGTCACCACTGCGGAAAGCTGAACATAGGTATTCATGAACTCTCTGTACTATTTTTGAAACTGATGATTCTATAATTATTTTAAAATGAAAATTATTTCAAATTTTAAAACTATAGAATATGTATACATTTTAAAACTTAATGGACATGTTAACAACAGACAAGTCACAGAAAAAAGAGAATTGATCTGAAAGACTGATTTGAGGAAATCACCCAAAGCCCAACAACCCAGGAAGATAAAGAGATGAAAAGTACAAAAACATTGAGACATGGAGGACAAAGAGGTGTTCCACATAAGTCTAATGGGAATTGCAGATAGGAAAAACAGAGAAAATGTAGGAAAGAAGCTATCTGAATAGATTGTGCTGAGTTTACAAAACTGATGAAAGACATGAATCTATAGATTCAAAAAAGCCCAACAACTTGCAAACTGTGTAAATAACAATACACTCACCCTCAGACATACTGTAATCAAACTATAGAATACCAAAGGAAAAGATATTTTTTTTAAAAAACAACAGGCATGGTTCACTTTATCTGTTGCTAATCATTATTTTATTTTCACCAAAAACAAACTGCCTGGTGCTTTCCCTTGTATTTACATTTGAAATCTGCTATCCAAATATACCAGTAACTCAGAATATCTACAGTTTATTACTTTGGGGAAAAAATTAAAAACATTCTGCACTGCCTAAACTTTTGTGCAATCCCAGTAGTAAGGGCTGAGTAAATCTGACAGGCACATGGTCCTTGCTGGCCAAGAACCAACCAACAGGCTGTAAGTCTCCTTTAATTTCACTCAACTTGTTTTCACTGCTATAAATAGTGAATAAATCAAACCCACCCTTCCTTCCAACTCAGTCTGCAGCACAATGACAGCTCAGTGTAAATACCCTTCAATTAATTTGTTGGGCACTCAGAGGGTACAGGTTTAGCTCTACATATCCCTTCTACCTGGGTTACCAGGTTCTGACTCTGAACTGGGAAACTGAGTGAAGAGAAAAACCATGTAGCTCTTTTTTTCTTCTTCTTCCTCTTCTCCCTTTCCTATTTTTTAAAAATTTTCTCCCCCCTCCAGCCCCACCCCTTCTTCTTCATCTCTTTTACCTAGTGAACATGAAACTTCTCTGTGAATTGGGCAATTTCATTCAAAATGGGGTGATTTACAATATAGGGCAATGGGCTGTTTCTGACTCTTCTATAAAGCTCTTAAATCTCTGAGTCTTGTTTTTACCCATCTCTAAAATGGTGCAAAAATAAAACCCTATAATACTGCTTATGTCAGAAGAAATACAGTGTTACAGCCCAACACTTCACAAACATGTTTAACCATTGTATTCCACTGCAACATAAGCTGTAGTGGAAATGAAAATCATTTAACTTTTTAATATATTTTTCAACTGACACTTGATTAATATGTCAAGTTGACAATAAAAAGACAATCTTTAAGGATTCATTGGGACACTGTGGGAGGATCATTATCTCTTCCTGTTTGATTTTTGGTGAAAGAGTGAAGGGTGAGGGGCCATTTCCTTTGGAGCTGGCCGAAAGTAGGATTACATACATGGAGCAAATTCTTAAAGAATGACAGTCATATGGAAAATCTACTTACAATTTCCTCATTTGGGGGATTTCCTTGACTCTCCCCCATTGGAAACTTTCTCCATTTTTTACACCGTCCATGGCTTTGATGGACTCTGACAAGTGTGTTTCTATAAACAGCAGTTAAAAATGGGAAATATTGTGAACTTCTCAGTTCTCGGAGTAGGAATAACCAGAAAGAACTGTGTAGGAAAGAAGGCTGTATCATCTCTGCCCATATCAAGATCTCCTCATGCACACGGATGGAAAAAGGTCCTCAGCTTGTCCTCTCGGATCTGGAATGGGGGTTCCACTCTGCTTCCAGAGGATCTGCACAAGGGGGTCATGTTGATGTCATGCAAAGATGATTCAGTCTCTGGTCACAGGTCATCTTGATGCCTTCATGGGTTATTTTTAATTAGGAAAAATTCACAGTATAGGCATATGCAAGATTTTTACTTAATTTTTATACTTATTGGTGCTCAACTCTACAGTTTTTCATCTCTTACTCAACAGGCTACTCTCCTTCTGCCTCTCTTCATTCTCTCTTCTTTGTTCTCTCATTATTTACTTAAAGTGCTGACTTTCAAAAAATTCTGTTCAATGAAAACAATGAGAAAATGGAAAATCACTGCTATATTCAGGCTAGCAAACTTTGACAATATTAAATAATTATACATATGTTTAACCATCACTATACATTATACCAGAAGTCCACAGTTGGCTAACATCACACTACTTTTGAAAAGTAAACATTTTAGCAATAAATGTTCCAAGGCGACATGGAAGTATTTTCATTCCTAAAATTTCCTATACAGATGTTATACACAGAGTTAGTATGCATAGAGATTCTCTTGTTCCAGATAATAAGTTATTCCACCAGGTTATATCCTTCATGTACACAAACCTCCAGGCTCTGTTTGTTTCAACATTCCCTGCAGCTGTTACTTAGATTTTTGCTACATAATTACTGTTTATTCAAAATCTCTCACTTGTTAGGGGATTTACCCACAGAGCTCTCACATTTAGCTTTCAAAACGTTATGATTTTTAAGCATTTTGTTTTTTACGCTAAATGTTGAAGGTGGCTTTTAGCCCTAACCAAAATATTTGCATGTTGCTAATTACATTTCTGTGAACCATCAAAATGAAGTCTGTAGAAGAATACATGGAAAATGTGCATCAAAGTTCGTTATTGCAATTTCAAATCTTTTGGAACAAAGAACCTTAAAACATGAGAAAGTACAAATATAGGCACCCTCTTGCTTATGAACAGTAACAGGAAAAACAGCTGAGAAGTACTGAGTGCTTCCTTCAGGCCAGGCCTTCTCTGAGTACCTTCCATCCTTAATCTTTAATTAACCACATGAGGTAGCTGGTATTATCAGCCCATTAAACAGATGAAAAAATTGAAACCTGGAGAGGATACGTCAGTTGCCCAAGGCCCCTCAGCTAGTAAGTGATGCTGTCGGAATTTAAATCCAGGCATTCTGACTGCAGTGCCCATGCTTGATCCACTACACAATGCTCTCCTTATGAGGAAACTTCTCCACGTTGGTATATATATTTTAAATTCAGCATCCTGTGCACTAGAAAAAAGAGAAAGAAGAAAGGCAGGAGCCTCCTCCTACTGCCCTGATTCTGGTCCCCCTTTCAATCCACCACTCCCTACGCCTCCCCACTACACCCTCCACCCTGACAAGAAATGGGAGAGGCCCCCAGAGGGCATCCACTTCCATAGCAGTTGCTTTTCCTCTTAAAATTTATTTAAAACATCTAGACTCTGTCTTCTAGAAGTTGGCAATCCAAATAAACAATATGAAGAGGCATATAATTTAAAATTTAAGAAAACAATATAAGAAGGCAAATATAAAAAAACATGAAAGTGAAGTCGCTCAGTCGTGTCTTGACTCTTCGAAACCCCATGGACTGCAGCCCACCAGGCTCCTCTGTCCATGGGATTTTCCAGGCAAGAGTGCTGGAATGGGTTGCCATTGCCTTCTCTACAGAAATTAATATAACATTGCAAATAAACTCTCCTTCAATAAAATTAAAAAAAAAAAAGAAAAAGAAAGAAATGCCAGATGGCCAAGTTACAAGGGAGATCTGAGTGAGCAGCCTGGTAAGGGTAAGACCACGATGCAAGGGTTTAATTGAGACTGCAAAGGTCAGAAGTGATTCTGCTGCCCTCTGCTGCTGAACTTGATTTAATTAATTAAGCAGGGCAAACAGAAACATTTACCTGACAGTTGTTTAGTTGCTAAGTCACGTCTGACTCTTTGCGACGCTGTCGACTATAACCCACCAGGCTCCTCTGTCCATGGGATTTCCCAGGCAAGAATACTAGAGTGGGTTGCCTTTTCCTGCTCCAGGGGGTCTTCCTGACCTAAGGATTGAACCCACATCCCCAGGATTGGCAGGTGGATTCTTTACGATGGAGCCACCAGGGAAGCCAATTTGCTTAACTACCAGCCATGAACTAGATGCTTCATGCTATTTAAATAACTTTTCACCACAGTCTTGTGAAGAAAACATCTTTCCTTATTTTAGTTTTTTAGTATCCATTACTACATAATATACAGTTTAAATGGAGTTCAGGGAGGTACTGTCTGGTGGGCTACAGTTCGTGGGGTCGCAAAGAGTCAAACTCGACTGAACGACTAACACTTTCACTTTTTCAGGGAAGTACTATAACTTGCATAAAGACACACAGTGAGTCAAGTTACTAGACTATAGGTTTCATTCTGTTCATCATCATTTATGCCTACATAGATAGCAATGCTGGGCATACAGGATAGGATGATTTTTCGAATGAATGAATCAAGTTCAGTGTCAAAGTTAGGTCTAATTCCAAAGCCCATAAACCTTCCAGATATCCACTGCTGCCTCTCAAATACTCTTGTTCCAACAGAAGAGACTGTGCTATTGCCAGTTTTGCAACTGAAGAAAGCTCACGTGGAGCCATGAAGACCCAGCGCAGCCAAAAATTAATAAATAAATCTTTTTATAAAGTGCTTAAGAAACAAGAGTGAAGAAGCTGAGACTGAGAGACATTATTTCTAAATAGAAGTATGTGATTATAACCTCACTTTGCAAATTACCCAGCCAATAAACCAATCTATCAATCAAGTCAGTCAAAGCTAAATTCATCATGTGTACATCAAAACTGGCAAGTAAGTAAATGTGTATGAATTTTAACAAATGTATTTTAGGAAAGGAAATGCCCCTCATCCATCCCAAAACTCATTCTTGGGCCAAATTGTCTCAAATTACAGGGGACAACTTTTCAGAATTTTTTTAAGAGAAAATTATTTTCTTAAGGTGACATTTCTCATATAAATTTCAGAAGACAAATTCATGGCAAACAGTGGTCATATATTTTAAACTAAGTATTAGAAGTTGAAAGGGAAGAGATTCAAATATAACTTATATAAGTTGTACTTTCTGAGTCTTACTAAAAACACTTGGAAAAGACATTTCATTATAAGAAAAAGGTCTGAACCACAGCAATCCATGTGTTTCTGTCATGGGGGGAGGGGACAGACATCATCCTGATAGTTACCTTCTTCCAAGTACAGCTGGGAGCTGGGAGGCTGTATAGTTCATTCACAGGCATTGTAGATGAAAATACATTTCAAGTCTGCCTATTAACTAAATGCAAGTCTAGAAAATCAGCTGGACCTTCTAAATATCAGTTTTTCCATGTGTAATGTAGGGTTTAAAGTGCCTGGTCCACTTGATTGACAAAGTTGTAGGCAACACAAATATAAAATTTGTAAGAATGATCAAAGCATTATACAAATGCAGGGTCATCCGCATTATCTCTTTCCTAAAAGATGCTTTTCATCCAATCCCATCCAAACAGAGGAACAATCTTCAAGGAGTCATGTTGCTATTGGGTTTTCTCTGTGCCATCATCTTACAGAAACACAGAATTGACCGGCTGTTCAAGAAGTCTCCAAGTCAAGCTGCCTTTAAGCACCTTGGGGGGGAAATACGGTCTTCTCTCATCTACAGTTGCAGATGTCTGCCTTTTGGAAGCTTCTAGATGGTCCTGAGGTTTTGAACTTCCATGAAGCTTCTAGAATCATATATCCCCTATAGATATGAGTATATGATTTCCAATTCTGAGGTGGAAAACCCCCATTAGCATCTTTCCCAAAGTAAAATCCAAGGAGGCTGTGGCCAGGATCAGCTTTGGGAGGCCCCTGAGACTTTGCACTGTGGCTCTTTTCAGAGGTTGAGCCTAGACATCAGCGCTCTCCCTCTGGGCCCCATCTGGGCTAAAGAGATGGTTGAGACTGGGCCTGACCCTCAGGAAGCCAGCTGCTTTCTCCCGGCCCAGCCCTGGGCTGCTGCTCTGTCTCGGGCTGCTAGTGGCAGTTCTGCATCTTTGTGCGGAGGTGGATAATGATCGCCGGTCAGGGTGTCCCTGTTGGGACACCCCGTGAACGGCTCTAAGTGCAAATGGAGATGTTTGGGGGTGTGGAGGAGAAGACAGGAAGAATGCAGACAGTCACATTTGAGGGTTACCTGGAATAAGGTAACAGAGGGCAGTGGAGATGTTTGCCAACAGAAACTGTTAAGTCACCATGTATCTACTCAGCACTTCTTATGTGCCAGGAACTTTAAATACATTACCTCATTTAATCTTCATAAGAGTTAATTCTGGGTAGATATCATGGTACTTCTACAGATGAGTAAACTGAGGTGCAGAGTCTCATTTCCACAAAAGGTTTATCCAGCACCTATCTTTTTTCAGACACTGTGAATATAAATAGTGACAAATACAGAGCATTATTTTTTAAAAACTATATAATAGCCAAGAGGAGGTCAAATATCTTGCCCGGGACATTGTTCCCGACAGGATTTAAGAGTCAGAATTTAAGTATAGATCTGTATGCTGAAAGCTTCATTTACTGGATTAATGCGGTCCAGAGGCAGATACTGAGCACATACTGTGTGCCGGGCACAAGGTCAGGGCCAGAGCAGCTGAACCCATAAGTCAGACCAGCCAGAGTGGGCTCCCAGCTTCGCGGAGCGTAACCCCTGCGCCGCCTGGGACCGCTCAGGAGCTCAGAGCGGCTGTCTTCGCCTCCCACCGAAGCCTGCGCCCAGATTTTAGGTCGGTCTCTGGGGCCCCAGTTCACGCTGGTTATGTCAGGCACCACGGTGGGGACATTTCCAGCCGATTTTTCTTTCCATTTTCGGACAGAGATATTTTCTTTGAGAAAACGCCGGTTCTGGACAGACGAGGTCGGTCCTAAGTGAGAGGAACACAAGTAAGTGAATGAAATAAAACGAAAGAGACAGAGACCCGCTATGTCCAAAGCCGGCTCCCCGTGAGCCGCATGCAGCTCTGGGCCTCTATGACACACATCCTCTGGGCTGAAGGTAGCGGAGGGGCCGCTTTGTCCTGGGGCTGCGTCAGCGCCCACGTAGGAGCCACTCTCAGCCCCGAGCTGCCAGCTGCCCACGCTCCACGTGGGCTCCGATCGCGGTCCTCCGGCCGCGTCAGCAGGACGGGAGGGGGCTGTGTGCGTCTGATGAAGTGTGATTGCCTCCGCGGGGAGCCGAGCCCTCTGCGCACACGCCCGCTCCCCGCTGAAATCCACGGGGTTTGCAGCCCCCCAGCTCCATCTGTTGACTGTTCCCGGCAACTGTCGTCGCCTCTCCGGAGCCCTCTCAGCGTCCCAGGGGCTCTGATCGATTCCTTCTTCTAATTTCCTTCAGCTTTTGACTTCAGTGTTGATCGTAGGATTAAGCTTTGCGTGACTAACCCTTGCACTGCCGGACGGTAATTTTGTGTTGGTTCCTAGTATTCAGGAAGGAAGTTGTCTCTGCCATTCTTTCTTTTTTTAAAAAATTTTGTTGTGTGGTTGATTTGCACTGTTGTGTTAATTTCTGCTGTAAAGCAGTTACTCAGTTACACATGTATATTCTTTTTCATCTTCTTTTCCTTTATGATTTTTCACAGGATATTGAATAGATCCTTTATGCTGTGCAATAGGATCTTGTTATTTAGCCATCCTCTATATAATGGTTTGCGTCTGCTCATCCCAAACTCCCAATACTCCATCCCCACCCTCCACCCCTTGGAACCACAAGTCTGTTCTCTACGGCTTTGAGTCTGTTTCTGTTCTGTAGATGTGTTCATTTGTGTCATAGTTTAGCTTCCACATGTAAACGATATTATATAGTATTTGTCTTTCTCTTTCTGAGTTACTTTCCTTAGTGTGATCATCTCTACTTGCATCCATGTTGCTGCAAACGATGTCATTATTTCCTATGCATACCGCAGAGGTGGACTGATGTTCGTGGTTCAGGTTCCTGGCAGGAAAGCTGTAGTCATTATCACACCTATTACTTTGGTCATCTTTCCTGGCTGTCGCCTTATCTCCTGGCTTTACCCACCTTTCTGGTGCCCCTACAAAGCCCATTTACACTGTCCTCCGCCCTCAGCATGGCTGTATATTCCTTTCTTTTCTGAGGTGTGTCTGGGAGATCTCGCTGTAGCACTAAAATGTTCTCTTTGCTATTTACCTAGCTCTTTTCTGTAATTCTCCCAAGCTTTGTCTGCATGTCACGTCTCAAGCTACTCAAGTATTTTGACAAACAGATGAATGACTATCTATCCACCTCAGCTTATATTTTTCCACTAAAAAAAAATACCGATGATGAAGATGGAATTTTTCTTAAACTGAATTTAGGTCAAATTTAGCCCTGATAGGGGAAAATTCTTTGCCTATTCCTTGGCACAAAACAAAGTTTAATACATGTTTATTCCTCTCGTTCCTTGGAAGAAGTTGTTTAGCCTGAACTGTCTTAGAGACTCTCCATTCTTAGAGATGCATGAGCCCAAACTCAAGATGAGAGCTGTCAGAGTTCTGTGCGTGGGCATCTCCACCTTTCCTAAGCAATCCAGTATGGCAGAGCTTGTGAAATAATCGAATTCTGGAACCGACATGGCCCTTCGAGATCATCTGCATTGATCCTTAGGCAATTTGAAAGACTTTAAAATAGACTAGTAATGTTAAAAATAAGTGGACAGTGAGATGGTGGTGATTACTGGAAGATCTCATCTTAGTTTTTCTCTCCAGCACAATCTCCAGTGATAAACTAACCATACTGATTAATTGTGCCCAAGAATGATCCCCTTCCCAAGAAATGATCTGCTTCCCTTGGGTTCATGTCCTTTGATGTATCAGTTGCTTTACCAAAAAAAAAAAAAAAAAAGCCACTGACTTAGGGTGGTCGTTAGAGACACTGCAGGCCCCTGGTGAGATCCCATAACTTTTAAACTGGAACGATTCCCTTCAGAAACCACACTACCTAAACCACATACCTAAACACAGGTATGCCCCCAAACGAGGGGACTTGGCCTGCAGCAGAGAGCACAGGCTTTGGAGTCAGGCACACAGGGTGTGAGTTCAAAGTCTGGCACAGTCTGGTTGTGGGACCTAGCGTCAGGGAAAACAGTCATGCCTCTGTCCCTCAGTTTCCACATCTGCAAAATGGGAGAGTAATACCTTTCACTGGAGATTGCTGGGGAAGTAAAATGGCTTCATGTATGCAAAGTGCCTGGTAGATGATAAACATCAAGTATATGGTATTGATTTCTTATCATGTCATTGAGAGTGGGAATGCAGACTGTAATTTTTTCTCATGGTGGTCTACACCCACTGACATAAAAAGATTTTCTGACAAATATGATAAAGAAGGCAAAAGAAAGGCACTTTGCTGTTGTTTTAAGTGTTGAATTCCACTTCCGCTGTGTCACTAGATATGCCTTGTCTTGCTTAGAACTGTCTTCACGCAATATTTTCTCTTTTAATTTGCTATCATATTTTTAGCACCTCTCATGTATTTTATTAGGTATTTTATATGCATTTTTCTTGCTTGAGACTCCCAATAATCTATGGAAGAAGTGTTGTTATTCCAAGATTATAAATAAAGCTCAATGAAATTAAGTGACTTTTCTGAGGTGACACAGGCTTGCCAGCCATGAAAACCCCTCTGGATTTTGGAGGGTGTATCTATGTGTGTGTGCACATGTGTGGGTGTGTGTAAGGCTGACTTGTTTATGTGCATATCACTGACTACGTTTGGTAGGCATGTACATGAGTTCTTTCTTCCACAACGAAGGTGACTGGTGTTCACCAGATATTTCTTGGATAAGTAAATCTTCTCTTTCTCTTCAGACCTTAGTTGTAATCAGCTCTGTCTGTGATAAAGCTAGCAAGGTCCATGGATTGGAGTTTTCCCCTCTGGGCAGAGTACTTACTTTTGTATTTGCTCTGCTAACTATCTGGAATGAAGCAAGGATCATGTGTGGTCTCTTCTCACAAGCCTCATACTGTCTGGCCCATGTCTCCCCTCCAGCCTCCACACTAACTACTCTCCCCCATGTTCCCTGCATGCTGGCTACACTGGGCTTCTTCCAGTTCTTGACAGTGCCATGATTCTCCAGCCTTGGGGTCTTTATGCATTGTTCCATCTTCCTGGAGCATCAGCCCCTTCTACTCACTCTTTGTGCTCCTGCAAAGTCGCTCAGTAGTGTCCGACTCTCTGAGACCCTATGGACTGTAGACCACCAGGCTCCTCTGTCCATAGGATTCTCCAGGCAGGAATACTGGAGTGGGCTGCCATGCCCTCCTCCAGGGAATCTTCCCAGCCCAGGGATCGAACCCACATTTCCTGCGTCTGCTGCACTGCAGGCAGAGTCTTTACTGCTGAGCACTGGGGAAGCCAGTGCCCACTCTTCAGGTCTTAGCTACAACAGAACTCCCACCAGAAACCCCCTTGGCCCTCTGTTTCAGTCATCTTTTGTGCAGAAAAAGCCCCCTCAAAAATGAGGGGCCTGAAACCACCACCATGCATTTGCTCATGAGTCTGTGGAGATGGGCGTCATGGGGGAACAGCTCACTTCTGCTTCACGCGGCCTGGACTAGCTCGGCTGAGGGTGGGGGGCCCCCAGTAGCTTCACTCACACGTCAGGCACCTCGACTGGCATGCCCGCTGGGACTCACTCTCTCCCCAGGAAATGTCTCTGGCTGGACTTCTTCATGTGGTGGTTGGTTTCTAAGAGGAGTCCAGACACACGACACAAAGCAGTTATCACACGTGCAGTAAAAGGGAAAGTGGAAGGTGCCAGGCACCCTGAGGAGCATGCTTGCAAGTCATGTGTGTCCCTCCTGCCTCTTTCTACTGATCAGAGCAAGCCACAGGGCCAGCTCAGATCAAGGTGGAGGGGAAATGGGCTCCATTTCCTGAAGCGACAAGCGCTGAGAAGGTTGGAAGGAAAAGCTGGTGGCCATCTTTGCAGCAATCTTCCACACCCTCCCAGGCTAGATAGTTCTAATAAATAGACAGCTATTTAGCAATCTATTAGCTGTTGCTAGTAAATAGCACCACCCTCTTCTCTGTAAAGGGGCTTGCCTGGTGGCTCACCTAGTAAAGAATCCGCCTGCAGTGCGGGAGACCTGGGTTTGATCCCTGGGTTGGGAAGATCCCCTGGAGAAGGGAAAGGCTACCCACTCCAGAATTCTGGCCTGGAGAATTCCATGGACTGTAGAGTCCATGGGGTCGCGAAGAGTCAGACACGGCTGGGTGACTTTCACTTCACTTCTCTGTAAAACTAACAGCACTTGTAGGCACTTATTCAATGTCTGCCTATACTCCCCCATCACCTCTCACACCAGCCTGTAAAATCTATTAGAACAGAAGTCTTGCCTGTCATGTTCATTGTTAATTATACACATGAAGTGAATGAATGAATGAGTAGGTGAGCGTACTGTAGTCCAGGCACATAATACAAAACAGTTATCACATAGGCAATAGGTGATTTCTTGTTGATCATAAGCTTGACACATAAAGTCCTGTGGCCTTGCTCTCCTCCGGAAATACTGACATGTCATGAGGACTGAAATTCGGCAATCTCTAAAGGCACAGAAAAGCTCTTAGTCTTAGACAACTTGGAAAATCCTGATTTCTCTAGGAGGGAAAGGCAATGATCATATTGTCAGCAATTTTTCCTAAAGCTATTGTGACTTGTTTTCGGTGCCTGGAAAGCTGTTGCTGCAATATTAGAATATCTTGCCTTGATGTTTGTCTAGAAGTGGCTGCTTTGGAAACACATTGGAAAATCCCTTCCCCCGTCCCCATCTGTCTTTTTTGTTCTAAATATTAACAAAAACCAGAAGGGGATTTCTAGAGAACAGCAAAACCAAACATGGCTATGCAGCCTTCATGGGAGTTTGTTTTAGAAACTCACATTTCAGATGCTAAATTAACTGCAGGCTTATGTGAGGGAAAAAGAGAAACTTCTGAGAACCAGAAGAATAAAGGAAAAGAGTAAG